ATGGCCATAGGCCCACATGATCTAAAGCAATAGTTCTCAACCTTCCTAAAGCAGCAACCCTTTCATACAGGTCCTCATGTGACCCCCAATCACAAAATTATTCCATTGCTACTTCATACATGTGATTTTGTTACTGTTATGAATCGTAATGTAAACACGTGATATGCAGGATAGGTGATATGTGACCCCAAAGGGGTTGTGACTCACATGTTGAGAATCGCTAATCTAGATAGTGTTTCACTGAGACCCTCTTTCCTGGTGATTCTAGGTTGTGTCAAGTTGAAAACCAACCAGCACACTCATAATAAAGTTACTGTTGTGTAAATGATTGTTGCACTGTATTGTTTAGTAATAATGAGGAGAAAGAAATCTCTGGGCTGGGGAGATATCTCAGTGTGCTCACTTTGTGAGCACAGGGCCCTGAATCCACTCCTCAGCACCTATATTTCAAAATGTGGCACACACTGGAGAGGGAGAGACATGGGATCCCATCGAGTCTACTTGGCGAGTTCCAGGCCAGAGAAAGACACTGACATAAAAGAAAAATAAAAAGTAGACCATGTCTGAGGATCAACATATGAGGTTGTCCTCTGGCCTGCACACACACACGCACACACATGCACACATGTACGCGCATATATATGTGTGTACACACACACAGGGCAGGGAAGACAGAAAAAGGGATCTCTGCAGATTCGGTAGAAGTACAATTTAAACATGTCTACTGTGGTCTGTGGTTTGCAGAATGCACAGGTACAGAGCTCATGGACCCGCAGGGCTGACAGCAGAATGTTTTGCGTACAAAGCCTCTAAAATAAATAATGCTTCTCATAAATATGTCATCTCTCTAAATGTTCTGTGGTCGTGACCTAGTTTGCGTTTTTTCTTTTTCTTTTTTTATGAGAAAGAGTTTATAAATGTAGCACTCCCTAGTGCAGGCACTGTTCATATACATACATACTTCTACTCTTCAAGGAACCTTAGGGATCTCCTCGTAGATGGCACTGAGGTCAACTCTGGCCCCAGCATAGACACTCCTCCTGTATGGCACAGCTAGCTCCTAGCCCCATCCAGCCCTGGGGTACTTGTCTTCCAGGGCACATGCTCTTCACGGCTGGTTGTGTTTATATAAGACATAAAAGGAAGGGCTGGGTGGTTAGTTGGCTCAGTTGGCAAACTGCTTGTCTAACATGGAAAAAGCCCTGGGCATGAAGTCCTGGCTTCTATCTTCAGCACACCACAAGCTGGGCATTGTGGCATATGCCTGCAATACCAGTACCTGAAAGGTGGAGGCAGGAGGATCAGAAGTTCAAAGTTATCCTCAGGTACATAAGTGACTGCTAGACCAGCCTTGGCTACATTATATCCTGCCTCAAATAAAATAAAATAAAGTTGGCTTTATTGTTTAGAACATTTTTTAGTTTGCATAAAACTTAAATATTTTCATGAACTCCCCGGCATTCCCAGTTTCTTCTTTTCTTTCTTTCTTTTTTTTTTCTTTTTCTTCTTTTCTTATTGAAGTGCTTGGTTCATTGACTGCAACCGAGTCACGTTTCCTTCGCAGCTTCCTGCTGGAATGGCTTTCTTCCTTTAAAAAATAATTTTAAAATAATTTAATTTATTATTTTTAATTATGTGTGTCTGTCTGTGTGTGGGTATGTGCATATGAGTGCAAGTGTCCTCGGAGGCCAGAAGGAGGCACCAGATCCCCTGGAGCTGGGGCTGCAGGTGACTGTGAGCTGTCCAAGGTGGGTGTTGAGAACTGAACTCTGGTCCGCGCGCTCTCTCTCTCTCTCCCTCCCTCTCCCTCTCTCCCTCTATCCCTCCCTCCCTCCTTCCATCCCTCCCTCCCTTCCCCCCTCTACAATTCTTTAGGGTCACTCACTTTTACGACTGTGAAATGAATCTATGGGTACTACATATCTAATTTTAAAGTCAATATAATGATAGCAGAGGAACAAAAGTGGCACCATACATAATTAATGTGCATTTACCGTGATAAATGACCACTCAGAATTGTACTGGAAGCCAGCAGAACTCAGAGGTCTGCATCTACTTGTGATTTAGAAACAGGAGGATGACAAGATTCTAGAATATTTTTTTGGCATTGTTTTTCTTCATGTTTAGAGTGTTGAAATAAAATCTCAATAAATATATTCATAAACACACATGGAATTCCTTGGCCTGTGGCAGTTACACATACGATAGGCACAGAGATGCTGACTGCTGACTCAGACGTGGGGAATGCAGCTGCCTTCAGCCGCCAGAGTTCCTGAGATTAGAAGAGTTCTGTCTTAGTGAGGGTTTCTAATGCTGCAATGAAACACCGTGACCCAAAAGCAACCTGGGGAGGAAAGGGTTAATTTTGTTTATGCGTCCATATTGCTGTTTATCAAAGGAAGTCAGGACAAGAACTCAAACAGGGCAGGAACCTGGAGGCAGGAGCTGGTGCAGAGGCCATGGAGGGGTGCTGCTTACCGGCTTGTTCCTGCCTGCATTCTTACAGAAGAACCCAGGGCCACCAGCCCAGGGATGGTACCACCCACCACAGGATGGGTTCTCCCCCAGTTTCCACTAATTAGTTGAGGTTCCCTTCTTTCAGATAACTCCAGTTTGCATGTAAGGTTGATATAAGACTAGCCAGTACAAATGCCATATGCCTAGACTTACATGCTAGTTGTATTTTTAGAAAATTTTGTGTACATTCAAAGGATGTCAACACATTTCATGTTCACATATAAAACACAGTTAAAGTTCTAACGTGACTGGAAGCACATTTTCATTGAATCAAAGACCCAGGCAGGCTTATGCATCTAGTGTGGCATCAAAGAAAGCACCCGAACTTCTCAAGAATGTCCCCTAGGGGGCGCAGCTGCTGCGAATTGTGCCGCAGCTGAACTGGGGGGGGGGGGGGGGGATGCTTGTGAAACCTTTAGCAAGGTGCCGGCCACGCTGTCTCCCTTAAAGAAAGCAGCTAATATAATCTCCCAGGAATCGGCAGGGCCTTGGTTTGGGGGGAGCTGGAGCATAAAAGGCAGGAGAAGCTTACAACAGCTCTTGCTTCTGAACCTTCTTCCTCCCTTTCAAAGTACTGACTTTGCTGTGGTACCGAACACGAGGGAGCTTGACGAGCACCAGTTTGCTCAGTTACACCTTCACATGTGTGATGCTCTGGATACAAAATAAAGTGAGGAACCAGAACAATGATTCTTTCTTTTAGAGAGCCTGCTATACAGCTTGTGTGTGTTTGGAGGCGAGGCCGTGGCCGGTGCATTGGCGAGGGGCGGGAGGCGGGGTTTGGGGAGGGGGCCGTTCCAAGACTTCTAGGCAGTTCTCAAGATCAACTGAATCAGAGAGCAAAGAAGAAATGCTTGTTAAAATACCAAACACACACACACACACACACACACACACACACACACACACACACACATTGGAGGGGGATATAGTTTCGTGCTAAACCCTGTGTAAATCTACCCTTCTCTTGTCCCCAGCACCAGAGAGAGAGAAAAAAAAATGATTTTCAAAAAGCAGAATAAGGAGGAAATGGAGTCTAAAAACACTCTCGCTAAGGTTTCAGCCAACTCTGTCGCAGTCTGTGACATCGCCCTCCAGCTGCGCTCAAGGCCTGCGCCTTTTCTGTTCTTGGTAGCCAGGTGATTCTCTGAGAACCCTTGACAGGACATCCAATGAAATAACCTGGAACAATTCCCGTCCTACAATCCAGGATGTGGAGGACTGGGGACTAGGTACATTTGAAGCATTGTTATTGAGGGCAGCATCAGGACCAGAGGGTAGAACTTGTAAGCGTGTGTGTGTGTGTGTGTGTGTGTGTGTGTGTGTGTGTGTGTATGTGCGCGCACGTGCCTTAAAGCCCAGCAAGCATGGCGTGATTCTTTTTCTTTTGGGAAAAGAAGGGGCTGTTAAAATGACCTAGTTTGACGCTTTCAGTTTATAGTTGAAAATATTGTTTAAAAAAAAGATCACTCAGATCTGATCCCAATAAAATATAACACCTCCCCTTTCATCTCCGGAACCCTGCAGAGACGTTTAAATTCTAGGCTGACTTCCATGATCACCGGCAGAGCGGAAACTAGAAAGGAAACTGGTTACTCTGGAAAGAAACTAGGGTGGATTCCTTTAAATAAAGGCATTGGCATGTTAGAGCACTCACATTAAATTTAGAGACTGATACTAACCTATTGATAAAATTTAAACTCTATAGAGCTGATTCTCTTGTGAGCCCTGTGGACCAGGTTGCAGCTTTGTTGGGGAGACCAGCCCCACCGCGCAAGGGTATGAAGTTGGCAGGGTCAGAGATGTGGAGAACATGGATGAAGGACCGGCAGGAAGGGCAGTCTTCAAGGGGGATTGATCTTGGATGTTCAGACAGGGAAATGAGACAGATGGAGGAAAAAGGCCCAGGGATAGTCGCATTGGGAGAAACCACTGTTACAGCAAATTCTCCATCTAAGTTGGTGGAGGGAAATAGGGAGGAGAGTTAAAGCCGTTCAAATGCAGGAGAAACAAGGACTTGGGGACAGGTGAATTCCGATACCGGCCTGGGCAGAAGGGAACCAGGTGCAAACCCTGTAACCTGCATGGATCCACGAGAGAAAGAGGGACGAGCTGCGACGCTCTCTCTCCTGCCCACGCGCGGCCACAGGCTCGGACGACTGCAGAGCAATTAGGGTGGAAGGGTTCCTCCTGGGCACCAGTCCGCGACGCGAGTGGGGGGCGCGTCCTCCGTCACGCCCTCGCCCAGTCCTGCGCTAGCCGCAGGCTGGTCCCCACGCCCCCTAACAGTCCCTCGGCTTCCGCGCGCCTGGCCCGTGCGGGGCCCTCCCTCTCTACACGCCTCGGTGCAGCGATCCCGGTGGCCGGGCTCAGCGCCTCGGGGCGGGTCCCTGTCGCCCGCACCTGCCCCCGGGGGCGGAGCGCAGCAGCGACAGCGCGGCCCCAGCCTCCTCCACACGCCAAGCCAGCGGCGGACCTGCCGCTCACCGCGGTCGGGGTGAAGCTCTCTGTCTCCGCGCCCTCGGTCCCTTGTCACTTCGGACAAGCGGTCGGTGTCTCCTCGGGGATCTGCAGCCCCGGCGCCATGGAGCCGGCCCTGGGCAGCGAGCGCCGCAGCCCCCCTGGCCCCGGAGCTCCGCGACCACCACCGCGGGGCCACGCGCCCTCGACCACCGCCTCCGCCCCCAGCCCGGCCCCGGTGAGCTCCTCAGTGCAGCCGGACGAGGAGCGGCAGCCGCGGATCAGCGAGAGCGGCCAGTTCAGCGACGGGCTGGAGGATCGAGGTGAGTTGCCACCGCCCCGGGCCCTTTCCCCACTGCCTCTCGGAAGCCACCTGTCCCCTGTACGCGCGACTCAGCGCGGGAGAGCAGATGTGACGGTCCCACCTCTCAGAATTTGTGCCGGCCGGGGGCGGTGCCTCCTGGGAGCCCCTTTCAGGTTCCCGATCCCGGCGGGTGCCTAGGCCAGCCTTGTCCGGTGTCCGCGGGAAAAGTTTGTAGATAGGGTTCTTGGTCGCTTAGAGGAGACTGAGAGGGTTCATCTCCGTGCTGGGAGATGTGGGTTCTAATGCATCCAGCCGCGCGATCCCTGCCATTCACCCGGGGAAATTTCTTTTTGCCGGATTTGTGGCGGGGTGCCCCATAGGTCCCCTTAGCCTCTGCACTCAATAGGGCCTGACTCTCTCTGAGGTCCTGGGTCACTGCGGTCACCGCTCCACAGTGTGAGGGTGCTGGCAGAGCGGTTGGGGTTTTGGGGCTCTGACCGCTAACCTGGTCTGCACAGATGCTACTCAAAGCTCCTACTTCCTGGAGAACGTGTGTCCAGCTCTCAGAGTCCTTCCTTGGACGCTGGCTTTGGACCAGTGCATCTCCCGGAAGCCACTGTCTCCTTAGGGGGCCTGCATCCAACGCCAGGGCTCCCTTATTTATCCCTCCTGGCTCTCCTTCCCCATCCTGCCCTCGTGGCCCTCGGCTTGGATTCTTTGCGGAGACGACGGCATCTACTACACCTTTGCTCTTTCTTGCTGCTTCCGAATTGGACCCCTCGAAAATCATCAACGGTTCCGCTAAAACCCTTGGTGGCAGATTTGGGGTCTCTGCAGCCAGGCCCTTCCCAGGCAGCCGGCTCTGAACACCTCTACTCATTTTTTTTTTCTTGGAAGCTTTCATCTGTCGACTGTAGAGTGCTTATATTATTTTAGTTCCAGCAGGTTTCTGTCCTATTCTTAGTACCTTGCACATCTTTATATTCCGGTTTCGTGTTGGGATGCAGGATTTCTTCCTTAGAGATTCCGAATTGTAGCGTGTGAAACAGGATGACATGGAAACAGATTTCCCAGAGAAGCAGCAGAGATGCTGTGCGGGGAACTGGAGCTGCTCCAGCTTGGAACGAGTTCTGCACCGGGGTTGCAGGTTCATCCCCTGTTCCCTCAGAACTGTATAGCCTTGAGGACAGGAGAGAAGGTGGCACCCTCGGAAACCCCGAAGAACCTCTCGCTTTAATTCTGGGGTGTTAGAATTACCTTTACTCCGTGGTAACTCCCATTGCAAGATTTAAACATTTTGTGTTGAAGAAAGACGGATGCCCCGGGTTGGGCTTAATTCTGTAGCATTGCGGGTTATCTGTAAGAGCTGGCCAGTCTCGCCTAACCCCTGCAGAAGGACAGACAAGAAACCCATACTGGAATGAATTGATATTTATCAATATCAAGAGGCCCTGCTTCAGCATTAAATTACAAGGAAACAAAACCCTTTTCTGAATACATTCTTTAGGTTTTCTGTCAGTGGTCAAATGAACTTCATTTTCTATTATATTGTCTCCTGAAAGCATTGGCTGTTCATAAGCCACTGCTGTGTGGAAGCTCACATATCACACACAATCTCTCTGTTAGGATGCATTGTGTCCCCTACAGAACCCGGGGTTCTGTGCCATTTTTGAGCTAGCTGAAAGTCGCTGTGACATTTCTTTTGTTCCACCCATTCCTGGCTGCAAAGGGTTAATGACAAATGAAAAACTCCAGTTAAATCAGAAGCCTCCTGGAAGCTTGGGTGTAATATTTTATATGGTTGTGTTATTTTATCTTTCTTATATCCATTTTTTTTGCTATCTCTTGGAAATGGTTCATGTGTTAGGACCACCTTCCCACCAGCGACAGGAACCAGGGAAGAGGACCACTCCCTGGTCTCCAGCTCTCCCTTTAAATGGCTTTCTGCTTAGGCCCCATCCCCACAGGGTGTGGGGGATGGGCACCCGGGCTTCGTCTTCCATACTGGTTTTTGTGTTGACTTCCTTCTGAGGCAGTAGAACCCTATGGCAGACCACTGCTGATTCTTATTGGAAAGTTGCTTTATAACTAGTGGTTTGGGATTTGGGGGGACATTTTCTTCTTAGAAGAGATATGGGCTAGTTCTCAGAATTCCAGAGAGCCCAGAATGTCCCAACACTACTGTGACAGCTGGTTGAGCCTGTGGCTCAGGAAGCAAGCAAACATTTTGTGGTTTAAGGCCTTCAGGAACTAACACACACACACACACACACACACACACACACACAGAGAGAGAGAGAGAGAGAGAGAGAGAGAGAGAGAGAGAGGCCCAATTCATCTTAGTGGTTTCCTCCCTCTCCCCTTCTTTAATATCCATTTTTTATAATTTGTCTCAAACCTTAGGATGTGGCCCTCCTTACATAGTTATAGACTTTACTGGGCACTTTCCCCTGGCTGCTTTTCCAATTAAAACAAACAAACAAACAAAAAAAACCAATAAAACACCTTTCTGCAGAGCATTAAAGCTCAATGGCCGGTGTGGTGACTCTGGCCTAGAACACCAACCAGCACTTGGGAAAGAGGAGCAGGAGGATCACTGTGAGTTCATGGCCACCAGCCTGGGCTACACACCAAATTCTGGGCCAGCCTTAACTGCAGAGTGAGACTCAACCCAGAGACAACAAGAACATCAAAAGTGGATAAGCATAGGAGAAATCAACGACAAGTCGTTCAGACCACTGAGGAAATAGCATCTTCTCATATGTTTACCCCGCCCTCCTTCGTTAACATATCCCTTGGCATTGTCAGAGCCACACTGTGGAGTTTAAGTTAGGTTAAAATTTCATCCTGGAGACTGGCTGTGGGCAGGGGGCTGCAGCGCTGCACACGGACCTGAGGCCTGTTTCTGTTGGGCTAGCCTGCCTGGTTCCCACTTGTGATGCACTGCTGTCTGAACCCTCACTCTTCCCCCGCATCCCTGTGGCTTTTGGGTGGGAAAGCATCTGACATGGATGCAGAAGGAGCATCTGTGTGGAGACCCATCATTTCTGAACTGAGTCCTTGTGGGTCATCACATTCTACTTCCTTTGGGGTATAAAATGTTATATCAGCCATGTGGGTACCTATGTATGTCTATGTTATTTGTGTGTGTTGGTGCTCATATGTAGAGGGCAGAGATAGCTTCAAGTACCATTTCTCAAGTGCTGTCCGCTTATTTTGGGAACAGATTCTCTCACTGGTTGATTCCATTTTCTGGCCAGTGAGCGTCCAGGGGACCTAAGCATGCACCGCTATTCCTGCGTTTTTATGTAGATTCCAGGGCTTGAACTCGGGTTCTCATGTTTGTGTGGCAAGTGCTTTATCACTAAGCCTTCTCCTGAGCTCCGCAGCTGCATTTTTAGAAAGGAAACAAAGAGATAAGCACAGTTGCACCGAAAGAAAAAAAGTCCTTCCTCTTTTGAAGCGTTTCCATGATAATGACTTTATGTTGTTTTTCCCTCCTCAACTTTTCAGTCTCCCAGGGGAGCCACAGGGAAGGTTGGATCTCAGGAAAAACCTCCAGTCCTCCTGGCTCACTGGAGCAGGTGGTCCAGCCTCTTCTGGCTCCCACTTTAATCTTCTGTAGTGAGTGCTGATCCTGGTGAGGCCAGAGGAAACATTCGCAGGGCAGGCGTGGTCAGGGCCAGGTGTGCTGGCGAAATCAGCCAGCTCTGGAGGGAGAAAGAAATGTTGTTTGGCAGAGTGGGCAGGAGTGTTCCAGTAATGGCTGTCCCCCTGTGGAAAAGTAAACCAGCTTCTCAAAGGGATCATGTTTTTGCCTCCACTGGACAAACCTCTTAAAATGGGTGCTGTCAGAATGCCTGGCAAATGAACCATTCGTTTGAGCTGCTACTTAAGTGGTGTGGTTTCACTTCTCCTGAAACCAATGGACCAGGAAGAAAGCACACACTCGTGTGTGTGTGTGTGTGTGTGTGTGCGCGCGCACGCGCGCGTGCAGAAGTGGAAGTTGGAGGTTGATGTCAAGTGTCTTTCTTGATTGCTCTCCACTATATATATATATATATATATATGTGTGTGTGTGTGTGTGTATGTATGTATGTGTGTGTGTGTGTGTGTGTGTATATATATATATTAAGGTTTTTCAACTTAAAATTTATTTTTAAATTCAGGGATGGTGGTGGTGGTGGCGGCAACACACACCTTTAAGCACAACACTTGAAAGGCATAGACAAGGGGATCTCTATGAGTTCAAGGCCAAGTCTGGTCTACAGAGTGAGTTCCAGGACAGCCAGGGCTGTTACATAGAGAAACATTTTCAAAAAACTGAAAAAAAAAACCTCTTTTTAAATTTTATTTCACAACCCCCCCTTGTAAACACCAGTTTTGGAGTCTTATTTTTTCCTAATTTTCAAATTAGAAATATAATTACATTGTTTTCCCCTTCCCTTTCTTCCCTCCAACCCTTCCCTTGAACAACCCTCCTTGCTCTCTCTCGAATTCGCAGGCTCTGTTTCTCTAATTGTTATTATATATAAGTTCAGCCTACAGGGCTGATCACTTGGTAACCAGTTTTCGGACTTATCTCTGGAGAAGACTGTTTCTCCTGCTCTCAGTGTTCCTTAGTTGCCTGCGGTTCTTAGTCTAGGGTTGAGACTCCATATGATTTCCTCGTCCCAGAAGGGGGCCTGTGCCACACTCAGCACATCGGTGTCTTTTATGGAACACTAAGGCTCAGAGCAGACAGGTCTCACTGAGTCTCTCTGCCTCATTCGTCTCTTATCTAATCTCATCTCCACAGGGATATGCATTTTTCATTGAATCGGAGCATAAAAATAGCTCCCCTTGGCTTTTGGGTCTTTATTTCTGAAGCCTTCCACGTCACATAGGATGGGATCTCTCTCTTTCTTCACCGTTCCTCTCCCTCCCTCCCTCCTTCCCTCCCTCCCTCCCTCCCTTCCCCTCCCACTTCTTTCTTTCTCCTCTTTCCTTTCCCTCTTCCTCTTCTTTCCTTTCACCTCT